TTTTACTACAACGGTCAAATTTTGAATTTTTACTTTAGTAATTACTGCAAAAAAATCACTAAATGTTTTTTTTAAAAAAATAGGAGAAATTTTTTTACGGAGGACGAAAGTGGGCATTTGAATTTTGCTTATTCGATGATTTCTTAAAGTTTATTTTCGTTTTTATTAAATTTTAAAATGATTAAATATTTTAAGTTCTTAAAAAAAAAGAAGTGTAAACAAGTACAAAGAATAATTTAGTAATTCGTAATGACTTTTTAACTAAATATTTTAGTTCCCAAATGAGGCTTTAGTTAGGGCTGGGCATAGGGTTATCCGACCCGCACAAACCGCCCTACCCGACCCTACCCGCACGTGTATGGGCGGTTTCGCAAAGTGAATAGGGTAGGGTGCGGTTTGAAATATATAAGATTTGCGGGTTGCGGGCGGGTTGCGGGTTAAACCGTCCCAAACCGAACCGCGGACACCCCTAGCTTTAGTAGGTGTTTGGGATTGACTTTTTTCATAATTTTTTTTGTTGGGTTTTCTTTTTAGTATATTTTTTATTTTTTAAAAAAAATTAAAAATTAATTTTTGGAAAAAAGGTAATAGTTGTTTTTTTATATTTTATCTTTAGTATATTTTTAATTTTTAGTGTCGTCTGCACAAAACGAATCTAAAAAATAAAGGTAGTGTTTGGTGTGATTTTCAAATCATGTTTTCACCTTTATATTTGAATATTATGTTTGGTTTGAATTTTGAAATTATGATTCCAAATCAATTTCAAAACACAATTTGAAAACTTGTTTGGTAAATTAGACACTTTTTTGAATTTTTGGTTTACACGGTCATCCTCCGGATGTTTAGACGGTTGACTAGAATAGTACAATTTTTTTTATTTTTTTTAATTTTAATTTTATTTTTGCAATTGCCAACTGCCACCTATTATTTGAAAAAAAAAATATTTTATATTTGTTTTTAATATTTTTTAAGTATACAAATTATTTTTTTAGACTAAAATGACAAATTATTTTTTTGAATTGAATTTTAAAAAGAGTTTGATTATGGGTTTTGAATAGAATTTTGAGTTTTGGGTTTAATTATAAGTTATAAGTTTTTGAATTAAGTTTTGAAAACTCTTTTCAAAACTTATAACCAAACAAATTTTCTCTTTTCAAATCATAATTTCAAAATTTACAAATTCAAAATACGACTTTATTATCAAATTATAATTCTAAAATTCTACCAAACATAACTAAAACTATTTGATAAAATTTTTAAAAAAGTTATTAAAAACCAAAATTATGCATAATAAATTTTTTTTAACAAATGACAATCACTTTTTTTTTTTCCCATCTCTCTCTCTAAATCACTATCATCATACTCCAAATACATCCAAACACCGCCTTAGTTTTTAGTTTTTTTTTTCTTGAACGGAGGAACTGCCTTTTCATAAACAGTTCTACAAACACCTTCTGCAAATATGTTCTTGAATCTGCTCATCATGTTTTGCTTCATAGCCCATTCTCTTGGGCCATTTGGTCATCTGTGCTCCATGAATAGAGGCTTCAATGGTGCATCCTTGAATCTGTGGCAAATTTACTTAACTGGTGGATGGGTAGGCAATTCAAGTGTCTACTCAGGAAATTTTGGAGAGCTATCTCCCTAGTAGTTATATAGTCACTTTGGAAGCATAGGAACGAGTGTGTCTTCACTGATGCCCATCCTAATTCGACTGACCTGTGGGAACTCATCAAGATCAGACTAGCTTTTTGGCTCAAAGCCTCTCTCAAGGACTTCCCCTTCTCAGTTAATGATGTTGTTCTCAATTGGAGGCAAATCAGGGGCTGCTATTGAGTTTGTATTAATAATAAGGAGTGGTCGCTAAACTGTTATGTTGCCTATAGGTGTATGATCTGTTTTGTTGGTCTGCTATGCCCAACTGTGGGTTGTTGTCTGCCATACCCAACTGTGGGCTACTGTCTACTATGCTGGAGGTGTTAATGTTGATCAGCTGTGTTAATGATAGAATGGGTTATAGGTGGATGATCTATTTTGTTGGCCTGCTATGCTCAACTGTGGGCTTCTATGTTATTGTTGGTCCTCTATTCTTTGGTTGGTTGCTCACTAACTTTGTGTGTGCTAGCAAATGATAAGATAGGTTTTGTGATGCCAACTTAGTTGGGATGATTTAGCTCATTGTGACGTTTATGCACTTGCTTTACTTTATTAATGTTGTTGTTGTTTTGTGCCTTATACTTTCCTAATTCATTATTAAGTTTTTTCTTTGCAAAAAAAAAAAAAAAAAAAAAAAAAAAAAACAAACAAACAAACAGTTTAGATTGAAACTATAGAGATTAAAGTGAAATTTGAGTCAAACTACAAAAGTAAAAAGTGTAATTAATCCTAATTTATTTTTTATTTTGAGAAATTTAGTTAAAATCTCTCCATTGGCCCTTGTTTGGCGAAAAGTACAACCTAATTTATTTTATTTCATAAACCCCCTAAGGATGAGACACATAATTAAACAAAGACAAAGTAAAATATCCTATTTTTTTTTTCTTGGACAATATTGCCAGAGTAACATGTTATTGTGAGATAGAGCAACATGTTACTCTCAAACAGAATAACATATTACTGTTTACATCAATTTCAAAGGTAATATTTTTTATTTAAGAATTTCATAATTAACATAGATCTTGATGAGAGGATTTTAAAAATACTCATTTTATTAAAAACCAACATTTAGATCAAAAGTTATACTATTTTAAAATTTAATATTTTAGTAATAGCGGTATGTTGGGCTTTTTAAGAAAAACTTTTTGTACATATCCTTAATGCATTAAAATTTTATTATGAAGGGGTTTTGACCAAATCTCCTTTTTATTTTTTTATTTCAATCTACACTAAACCAACTTAAAAAATAAAAATGTTCAACATAATTTAAAAAAAGAGTTTGGCTCCTCTCCAATTCTGCAATTGGATTAGAGCGTGTTGTTAGCCCATATTAAATGCTTATCTTGATGATCCAAATTGTTCAATGTGTAGAGTTCGTCGAATATATTCATTTTTACAATTTTTTTTTTATAAGTTTATTGATTAGATTACATTTATGTCAACAAGCAGCATGATTTTATAAATAAAACTGTTGACACAAATGCAATATGATTAAGTGACTATTAATGTTTGATCAATGTAATTTTTTTAAGGATGATGTGCTTGACATGCTTTACCTATTAATAATTTGAATTATCGAAATGAGCTCCAATATGAGCCCACCATGGGCCAACAAAGAAGCCATTTTTTTTTTTTAAAAAGAAGAGTAATTACAAAAAAATTCCCATAGTTTAACCCCTGTAATAAAATAAATCTTAAATTTTTAATTTTGCCAATTTAAATTTTAATATTTTTATTTATTTTCAATTTAAACTATCTACATATATTTGCTAAATAAAACCAACGAAAAAAATAATATTTTAATGATTAAACTCAATAAAAAATAATATTTTAAACATTTTATGCACAGAAAATATAATTTTTATATTTGTTTATTTAATAAAAATAAACAAGTGAAAATAAATAAAAAAATTAGTATTTAAATTGACAAAATTTAAAACTCATAATTTATTTTATTACAATGGTCAAATTCTCAATTTTTTCTTTAGTAATTACTTCAAAAAAATCACTAAATGTTTTTTTAAAAAATAGGAGAAAATTTTTGACGGAGGACGAAAGTGGGTATTTGAATTTTGCTTATTCGATGATTTCTTAAAGTTTATTTTCGTTTTTAGTAAATTTTAAAATGATTAAATATTTTAAATTCTTAAAAAAAAAAAGTGTAAAAAAGTAAAGAGAATAATTTAGTAATTTGTAATAACTTTTTGACTAAATATTTTAGTTCCCAAATGAGGCTTTAGTAGGTGTTTGGGATTGACTTTTTTCATAATTTTTTTTGTTGGGTTTTTTTACAGTATTTTTTTTAAAATTTTTTTTGAAAAAATTAAAAATTAATTTTGAAAAAAAGGTAATAGTTGTTTTTTATATTTTATATTTTATCTTTGTGTTTGGTGTGATTTTCAAATCAAGTTTTCACCATTATATTTGAATGTTATGTTTGGTTTGAGTTTTGAAATTATGATTTTGGGATTGACTTTTTTCATAATTTTTTTTGTTGGGTTTTTTACAGTATTTTTTTTTAATTTTTTTTTGAAAAAATTAAAAATTAATTTTGAAAAAAAGGTAATAGTTGTTTTTTATATTTTATATTTTATCTTTGTGTTTGGTGTGATTTTCAAATCAAGTTTTCACCATTATATTTGAATGTTATGTTTGGTTTGAGTTTTGAAATTATGATTTCAAATCAATTTCAAAACACATTTTGAAAACCTATTTGGCAAATCAAACACTTTTTGAATTTTTGGTCTACTCGATTATCCCCCGGATGTCTGGTTGATTAACCAGAACAGTACAATTTTTATTTATTTTTATTTTTTATTTTGCAATTGTCAATCGCCACCTATATTTGGAAAAAAATTATATTTATTTTTGATATTTTTTAATATACAAATTATTTTTTTAGACTACAATGACAAATTATTTTTTGAATTGAATTTTAAAAAGAGTTTAGTTATCAGTTTTGAGTAAAATTTTTTAGTTTTGGGTTTAGTTATGAGTTATAAGTTTTTGAATTAAGTTTTGAAAATTCTTTTTAAAATTTATAACCAAACAAATTTTCTCTTTTTAAATCATAATTTCAAAACTCATAAATTCAAAATACAATTCTATTTTTAAATCATAATTCTAAAATTCTACCAGTCGTAACCAAAAATATTTGATAAATTTTTTAAAAAAGTTATTAAAAACCAAAATTATGCATTATTAATTTTTTTTCACAAATGACAATTTCTTTCTTTCTAAATCACTATAATCATACTCCAAATACATCCAAACACCGCCTTAGGTTTTTTTTTTGGAACGGAACCGCCTTTTTACCTACTTATACATTAACAATGTCCCTGCAATGGGAGTCCCTATTCCTTTGGAACCCTAGGTTTTACCTACTTATACATTAACAATGTCCCTGCAATGGGAGTCCCTATTCCTTTGGAACCCTAGGTTTTATTGAAGAAGAAGAAGATGATGATGCATCGTAGCAACCCCAATCCTCCCTCCTCCTTCGATGACCAGGACGAGGATCAGCGAGTCGGTCTGCAACGGCTCTCACCATTAACACCTTTTTCTCCATCTTCAAAACTCGTCTATTTTTGTCTAGCCGACTGTAACGGCTTTCATTGGTATCCTCTTCGAGTCTCCTCCGACGTAGAGGTAAAGCGAGTCGGTCTCCAACTTGTTATGGAAATTGCTCATCCTGTTCCTGATCCATTTATATATTCTGAATCACCACCACCGTCAATCTCATCACACTCACTATTACCACGACCACCTTCTTCTTCAAGAATTGCCTATATTTGTCTAACTGATATTGATGAGTCTTATTGGTACGCTTTTCAAGTCTCCGAGGACGTCGACCATAACAATCAACAACTTCCCCACAACAACCCTCGTCTTCCTTTTCACCAAGACGACTATGAAAGGTATGATTTTGGTTCTGATCAATTTCTCAAACCCATTTTGACTGCAAAATTGCTTACTTTAAGTGGTGCTAGCTGGGTGATTCACAACAGTTCATTATACCAGTTCGTTCGTCAATGGAGGAATGACAAAAAGGGAAATCAATTGGTTCGAATTGATCTTGGTAATAATCCTATTGCCAAGAAATTAGACATCTTTCCGCAATTGCCTCATGCCCTAGGGCCACGTATACACACTTTGGTTCTGGATGACAAGTTTTATTGCCTGGGTGGTTTAGAACCACCACCATCACCATGGGCCATGGCTTTTGACCCGAGCCTAAATCAATGGGAGTCTCTACCTAACCCTGCTCCTTTTCCACCTTTTCCAATTATGATTAAACGTATATTCTCTGCAGCTATACATGTTCCCAAGCCATGTATTGTGGTGGGTTGGCCTGAGGATCGTGTCCTCCGAAGATACTATGTTAATACCAAAAATTGGGTGAGTGAAGAGTTTGAAATACCCAAGACCCGGTTCTTTGGTCCAGATGACTTAATGGGACCTGCATTGGCTGTTGACCGCATGTTGTATTGGTATTCAGCTCGAGACACTACTGCATGCCTAATTGGGTATGATTTAATGAGAAAGACATGGTTCATGGGCAAGTTCAATGTCCATGACTATGGACGGTCTTACATACCTGAGCATACTGGTCCTCCTCCTCCTCCGAGCTTGGCCCATCTAGGCAGTGATAAGTTCTGCTTGTTTTGGTTTTCTGTGGTGAAGTGTCATCCCAATCCAACAACCATAACGGAGGAGGATTCCTTGACCAAGGACGAGGACGAGGATGAGGATGAGGAGTACGTGGAGGAAGTGGAGGAGGAATCTCTTCGCATTCACTGTATGAAACTCCGAGTTACTAATGGTAGCCGTCGCTTGAGAAGTGGAATATTCCCCCTGGAAATCTGTTCCATCTCATGCCAGTCTTACTTGGTTGCTGAGAATGCAACTTATTTCTGTGATGGCTTGGTGGTTTAATGTAAGCCAACAACTTCTTCTTGTTACTTTTACCTACTTGTTCATTTGTATTCTTCTTCTTGTGAGAAAACTTCTTTTGTTATGTTAGTTTGGTTATATGTAATAATTCTTTTGTTACTTTTCCACAACGAATAATCAATTAGGCTTAAACTTGCTTTTTTGGACTGATGTTAAAAACTAATTGCAATGCTTGCTTCTCATACTGAATATAATGCCTAAATAACAAAAACAAACAATTCTCAACACAATTGATCCCAATCAAAACCAACCATCCTATAACCCAATGTTATTGGTTATCAGGTAAAATATATTAAACATCTTTTGAGAGTAACAATCCATGAGATTAGTGTAAGATTGGTTATCCAGTGATTGTGAGGGGATTAACAATCCATGAGATTAGTATAAGATTGGTTATCCATGATTGTGAATCGTGGATTAATAATCTCAATCCTATGCTATAATCCGTCCAATCAAACATGCCTTTCATGGATTATTTGATATGCTGGAGATTCTTCTTGCCTGTGAAAGTGTTATCTCCACCCTACAAAGCAAATAGGTCAGTTTGCAAGGAAACATTTGCTAGGCATGCTTAAAGTTTTATGCTAGAGTCTGTGATATACCTGGAATGAGGAAGTGGTTGCCTTTTTTAGTTCCAGTCATACAACACTGTTTTGGTTGGCATGTTTAAAAACTTATGCCAGAGTATGCAAGTGGTTTCCCTAATTAGGTGCTTTATAGTCAGTTGTCTCACATGCTTTGGATCTATGAAAACATTACAAATTTAACCTTTGTATCAATTTTGTATTTATTGGTTTCTTGGCAGTTGATGTTGTGTAGGAGTTCTGGGTGCTTGTTTTCTTGCTAATAGTGAGATTGGTAGCATGATTGGTGCTTGTTTTCTCACAACCTTTTTCTTAACTCATCTTTGTTGAACAAGTGCACCTTGGGAGGCTCCGGAAGGTCTAGAAATGGGTTGTGGCCGATGCGGAATTGGTGTTTGAATTTTGATCATTGATTGTAGATTTTCTGGTTTGGTTTGGGGAAGTACCATTGCTTTTTCTTGACTCATCTTTGGATTGTGGTTGCTTTGGTACTGAATTGTGGCAGTTTCGAGGCTTTTCTAATGGTGTTTGGAGTTGAGCTTGTAGGTTGATTGTTGATTTTCTCATTTGTCTATGTTCATTGCTGTTTCAAATTGTTCAAGACCCACAACCTTTCTCAACTCATTTTTGCTGAACAAGTGAATCTTGGGAGGCTTTGGGATCTTTTCAAGGTGTTTGTTTTGTTTAGGCTTTAGTGGTCTGTTATAGGTGTGTCTGGGGATTGTTTGCTGTTAGTGTTTTTTGTGTTTTCCTTTTAGGTGCTTTGTTGATTCCTTTTCAACATTGTGCTGGTTTTATTCTGTTGTATTGCATCTCCATAAGTTCTTGTGATTCCTTTTTTTCGCTGACCAATATAAATGAAGCATTACACTACTACAATAATGGTTAAAGGTCACACTTAAAAATTTAAAAAGATCTTAGTTTATATAGAAGTATAAGTATAAAAGATCTGAGTTTATATAAAAGCATGATTGAAAATATTCACCTTGCTTGTTTCCACTTTTCAAAAAACACTTTTCAGAAAATTTTATTTTCTTATTTTTCGTGTTTTTTTGTTTTTACTGAATTTTTTTTAATATTTTAAGCAATTTTCTTACTTTTTAGACACACCTAACATAAATACACCTAAAAAGTAAAAAAATTGTAAAAAAAATCTTTTAAAAATTCACTAAATACCAAAAATACAAAAAAAAAAAAAAAATACAAAAGAATTTAGTACATTTCTTGTATTTTTTTGTATTTATTAATTTTTTAAAATATTTTTTCACAAATTTTTTACTTTTTAGATACATCTAAATAAGGTGCATCTAAAAAAGTAAAAAAAATGTTTAAAATTTAAAAAATATTCATTAAAAATAAAAAAACACGAAAACCAAAAAGGTTAATTTTCAAAAAACTTAATTCAGAAAACTCAAACCAAACACACTGATTAGTTTTTATTTTTTATCTCAGTTTTAAAAAAAAGCATGATTAAAAATATTACTCTTTTTATTTTTTTATCTCACTTTAAAAAGACATGACTAAAAATATTAATTGTGTCTTTTATTTCAGTTTTTTTAAGTAAAGCGTGATGGTATAGGTATGTTATAAAAAATTGATACATAATTTTTAATCTTGGTCTTATAAAGAACTGAGATTGAAAAAATTATGTTGCGTGTTTTTTTCGTCAAAAGTCAAGACTGGACTGAAGAACAGTCGTGCTCTCTCAGTATTCCTCTCATTACCATCGAAGCGATTTTGATGAAAAATCTTCGACTATCACCACCGTTGTCGAAGATCCAATCTCCGTCTAATGAGCGAGCACCACCATCGAAAATCCCTATCCCCTATCGAAAATCTCAAACTCTCTCGTTTTGTTCTAAAGCTGCTCCTAGGGTTTGGATTTAGGACATAGTATCTAGATATTGGTGAATTCTCTCCAATCCTCTCTAATTCATTGTTGATCATTATTGAGAATCAGATGAATTCTCAGTTTTTGTGTACTTCCTTTCTCATAGAACTAATCCTCTCTCTCTCTCTCCACTACTGGAAAATTGACTTTTTGCTTCTATTTTCTTGCGACCACCTATTTAGCCGTGGAAAAAAATATATTTGGGACAGCATAATATGAGACAAAAGCAAGTGATGGTGAAAGGTCCCAATTTATCAGTTACTTTAAGCCTCATTTTGCCTGTAGGAATGCAAGGCCTAATTTATTTCTCCTATTTCTTTTTATTTATTTGCTCCATTCCAGTTTTGCCCTAGATAGGCATTAAAACCATTGGGATTCGACATCGCTCTCTTTCTCTCGTCGTCTAAAGAACACCGGTATGAATCTTTGTCTCTCCCGTTCTCTCAATCTTTGACTCTCTCTCTTGATCTCGATCTCGATCTCGATCACTCAATCTTTCTCTTGATCTCTGTCTCTCTCTCGTACAATATCGTTCTCTCTATATCTACGTACACATTATCTGACCTTTTTTAGATAATTTTTCTTCTCCTAAAAATCTCTCTATACAAGTATATATATGAATTTATATATGTATCTCTATGTATTGATTAAATAGTCATCCTTATTTTACTTTCAGGTTCTCGACTGATCTAATCATTGATTGGCGGCGGTGGAAAAATCAACTCATTTGAGAAAAGAAACCCTACCTTTCTCATTGGAGGTAAGTTCTAATCTATTTGTTTACATGTTTGTTTTGGTTTTGATCTTGTTTAGATTTGTATTGAACAACTCTTTATTAGCTTTTTGTTTACTGTTTAGGAATTGATTTCAATTTGTTAGCTTTTGTAGTTTGAATGCCATGTTTATTGACAAATGTGTTCAGTTAACATACAGTTAATGTGTTGACTATTGTTGATGCTGTGATTAATTGCTGCAAATTTCAACATAGATGAATGGGAAATTAGTTTTTGTTTCCAATTCCAAAAAGAGTAGGAGTATAAACTCTAATTATTTGATGAATATTTTCCCCAAAAAATAAAATAAAAATGATTAGATGATTACAACTAAAAGAATATATTTTATGATAAAGAGTTGCTATAGTTTACATCTTAAAACTAGAACTAGAACTAGAACTACAAGACAATTGGGAATACATTATATAATATAAGCAAAGACGTTGTAAGGTCTTTATTGATGAAAACTTCAATCTATTTTTCTCAAATTTTTGAATTTTTTTAATGTAAAAATCTTTGTGTCATATTATTGGTTCTCATAATTTTTTTTTCTTTTTTAATTTTAATTATCATTATGGCAATACCTTTCAAATTTTGTCCATTAATTGGAATCTTTGGAATTTTCAACAATATGGAAACTTTGTATTTCTTAAATTGATGATGACAATCTCAATATATGTTTCTTAAATTGTTAGTGACAATTGATTTGTAAACCACTTGTTTTTCCTTAATTGGATAGTAAATTGAAATAAAAAAATTTGAGGACTTCTTGTTTTTTCCTTCGTAGATTTTTTGGTTTTTGCTTTAGGGGACTTCTTGTTCTCCTTTGTACTTCTCTTTTCTCCTTTTTAATAAAATTCTTCTTTTATTGCTGATCCAAAAAATTTTGAAATAATTTTTTTTATGATATAATTATAATAATAATAAAAAAAGTTCTGGCTTTTGAGCAGATTGTTTAAGAGAGGATTTTTTTCTTAAACTTGAGTCCTGTTTCCTCTTCTTCTTGCAGCATTTCTTCTTTAAATAGCTAGAAATTTAGCATCAGCTTTGTGTTGTCTTTAAATTGTATTAACTTGATGAAAAAGTAGGGGCCTGTTTCCTTCTTGTGGGAAATCATTTTTTTCATTGTTATTGGGTGAACCTCTTGAGTAGATGATTGAAGGTTCAGTAAATGATGGGACATTATAATCAATTGAAGATGAGGGTTTTTATAAGAGTAAGAAATTAATAACAAAAAAACAAACAAAAAACGAAAGCTATTTATTGGTATTTGTGTTTCTTGAAGCAATGAAGTTGACTTGGCATTTTGTAGATTATAGTGTGGTTGACTAAAATATTTTAATGGATATTTGGGTTGGGAAATTTGAGACATGGAATTTTTGTCTTTTTAATAATGTATGTGTTAATGATCATTAGTTTAGAATGTTAACTACTACTACTTTTTTGTGTTTGTTAGCTTTTTTGAGTTTTACGAAATGTGGTTGATTATGATAGTATTATTTTGAGCTTTTAATCTTCATAAATACTCAATTGCTCATTTTCTTCAACAGTTTCGTGGGAAATTACTGGGCCATTGGTTTTATTTGGTGTGCTTTATGAACTATAATGTGTTCTTCAGATTCAGTTATACTGTGTCGGTAATAAAGAACAAATAGGTAAACACGGTTTCTATTTGGAAATCATGGATAGATTTCTCATTTAGTTGCCAAATGAACTTCTATTTCAAAGTTTGTCAATTGTTCCACTCCACTATTGTTGAAGTGCTCCATTGCTTTTCGTGTAGCTATGTTCCTATGTTTGGAGAAACCGAGTTTGATCAGATTCAACAGTTTCATTCAATAGACATAGAGGAACAGCTTGATGCTCTAGGCAGAGCTGTTGATGCTGGTAAGGTTACCGGCACTATCAAGGGTTTTGCTGCTTCTGTATCTCTGTACCAATGTCATTTCTAATTTTCCTAATATAGTCGAAGATGTTTTATTAGATCAGATATGTTGGGCTCAGTAATGAACCGCCATATTGTGTCATGAAGTTTCTTCACAGTGCCAAATGTGGCCCTGGTTTTCCCTAAGATAGTATCTTTATTGGTATTATATGGTCAAATTCGAGGTCAGAAATTAGCAACCCATCATTGGGGTGTGTGTGCATGTGCTATCTGCAAGCTGAGGCTAATTTGTAACTCATTTTCTTTGTTCCAGAATTTATCTAACTTCTTTGCTGAAATTTTGATTGTGAGCGGGCTGAATGCTGTCATCATGAGAGGTATATTGATTAGTAATGGTGCCTTATAATTTTAGTAGTATACTGTTTTCCCTTTCTCACTATTAGACCTTTTTCAAGGTGAGCTTATTGGCCAATGGGCATACTTTCTGGAAAGTATTTCTCACCTGATGCGGGTCCAGTTGATGCTCGTTTGAATCTTTTTGAAGGTTGAACACCAACTTACACTACTGGAAAAGGAGGCTTAAGACATGGAACTTTTTGCGACGGTTTGAAAATCGTCTCAAAAAGCAAGCTTTTGCGACGGTAAAAAACACCGTCATGAAAGTATTATTTTTGCGACGCCAATTGACTGTTGCAAAAATAAAAACCATTATTACGAACGGAAAATCCAAAACCGTGGCAAAAAATAATATTATACGTGACGGTACGTTACCTGTCGTACATTTTTTTTCTTCATTTTGTGGCTTTTTTTTTGTTTGGGTGTGATGCCTTTTGTTAGTCAGTCGCAAAAATTTTTATTTTTGCTCATTCGTGATTGTCCTTAAAATCGTCGCCAAAACTTAATCCCTAATTTTTGTTTCCTCTCCCCCCCCCACCTCCCTCTCTCTCCGTTTCCTCTCCCCCACCCCCCTTCTTTCCCACTCATCCCTAAACGTCCAGACTCCTCTTCGGATATAAAAAAAAAAAACTTTCTGTCTTCTCAGCCTGCCCTAATTTCACTCTCTCTCTCTCTCTCGCAGCGGCAACAACACCGGCATCCAGGTAGCCCTCTTCTTCTCTCCCCTCCTCTCCTCTCCTCCCCTCTTCTTTCCTCTCGCCCTCGCACAGACCCTCACAATCTGTCGCTCGCTCTAGCAAACCCTCACAGACTCTCTCTAGCAGCGGCGGCGACTTCCCACCGATTCTCCCTCCGACATCCATGTATAGCTCTCCTCTGCTCTTCTTGTTCGTTCTCTCTTTTTTCTCTTCTTTCTCCTTCGTTTATCTTTGAGCTATTGACATTGACAGGTCATTTAGTTGATTGAATATTTTTGATTAAGAATAAAATAGTATGAAAATTGACATAGGTTTGATCTAAACTATTTTTCTAGTTAAATCCAATGAATAGGGTTTGAAGGTAGCCAGATTTTGAGGTGTATGCATAAGCACCACCTCATCCACCCAATTACATTGCTACATTAATTTTATTTCAAATTTTTAAATTTAATTTTGCAAAATGTCAAGAGAGGCTTGCATTCTGGTGTTCTTGCTCTGTTTTTTTGTGCATTTTGGTGTCCTTGCTCTGTTTTCATTTTTGTGATTGATTGGTCCATGTAAGTTTTCATTTCTCTACAAGCCCATGTCTAATTGGTTTTATCTTTTTATTCTAAAAAGTATTTATTTGTATATTTCTGATAATCTGATTGTATAGGTGCATATGAATAGCTTATATATATGCCATATGTGACGCAGCGGAATACACGGGGACTAGATATTGTTCTAGTTGACGAAAGGGGCTCTCGAATCCACGAGAAAAATAGAACCTTGAATCCATAAGGAAGAGAAAATATCTTAATATTATTGATTGAATGAATAAAAGTTGTCTTTGCCATAAGGCTTACATAGCTATTTATAATAAACTAAATTTAATACTTGTAGGAAAAGTAATTCTAAAATAAACTAGGAAACTTAAATCAACACAAATTGGAAAACCTAAGAGAATATGAAAGTAAGATTCTAAACTATTTAAAATCCTAGTCAAAATCTAATTCTAAAATAATAAAATAAATAAATAATATATCAAAAATATTAAAACTAAAAATATAAAAATTCTTAAAATCTTGTCCTACATCAATATGTCATGTGAACTTCACTGTGATGAGAGCAATTTTGCTCTTATCATGCCTCGCTATGATCCTATTTTGGGTGCTCAATCTTTTCCGTCAGTATTTATCTCCTTGGCAGTTGTCACTTGATTGACGTAATAAAAAGAAAATAGCTTTTAAAGTTTTCTTGATGTAATTTTGACATTTTCATCAAAGAGGCCACAATTTATTCAAGAGAATTGGGAGTTTCATTACACAATTTTATTTTATTTTTAATTAATTTCTATCATATTGTTCAATTCTGAATGACAATTCTTTATGATGATGACGAACTTCCATATCTAGACTAGAACTTGAAACAATGATGAGAATCCAATGTTTGGCAATTTAGTCTCTTGTTCGTCTCTTCAAAAAGTCCAAAAGAAGACACTCCAAAATTCAACCTGTACTCTATACTTGCTGTCTCTTCTGCTTCATGGTTTCTTCTCTATTTGGCTTTCAGAAGTCCAAAAAAGGTGGAAGCAGAAGTTGAACCAACTCCCACCTCTCTCTCTCTGTCACTCTCTCTAAAGTAGGTGGACCCAAAAATTAAGCAACCTCTCTCTCTCTTTTTATGTGAAAAATTAGGCCACTCTTTAACAAAAGTTAGTCAGGTAACATTGTATAAGGGTTGGCAGCCGAGCACAATGTAAAATACTTGACAGTCCATGTGAGATTTCATAGTTACACTATAAAGTACCAAATAATCACATGATACGATTCATACAAAAAGATGATTTGATTTGTACCTGATTTTTAAACCAAAATAATTAATTTAAAACCGTTCCCAAGTCATGGAAGATATCATGGCTATTAGCTAACCTCACATTACATGCTCTCTTTTTTTATGCTCTACCGGCCTGCTCAACTTTTACATAAATTAGCCGCCTCTCCCTCCACTTTTTTTATTATGGTGACAACATCAGCACATGTGATTCATATTTCCCCCCTCCCCTCGCTTATCCATGACTTGCAATGCTAACATTCTCTATTAGCAGTACCACCAAATTAATAAACCTCTTTTCACAGTTTGCTGATTAATTATTCAATAACCTTGTTTGATGCAGCTTATTAGAAACTTTTTACATTTATTTTTGTTTCATCAAAGTCTTGCTGCAATTCCTGCCTATGGTTTATATATAGTTTGGAAAGGATGTAATGTATTACTTAAGATTTCATTTTGACTTCAATGTTAATTTCTGAATCAAACTGTCATTCATCTTCATGTAAATTGAATCAGACTGCACATTGGGTTTGTAGAGAGAGAGAGAGAGCTGATTTGGAGAGGAGGAATTTTGATTTTATACGAAGAGAATGGAATAGATATCGTAAAAAAGAATGAGAGAAAGAAAGTGAGGTCACTTGATTTGTAAGGAGAACGAAGATTGGGGCGAGAGAGAGGGAGAGAGAGGATAGGTTTTCTGCTGCACGGACATGCTACAAATGGTGTGTCAGAATATGAGGGCTGTCTAGCTGATATAGAAACACTGATAGTGGTTTTTAGTTAATATTCTGCCTTCTGGTTTTACTTTTATCTGAACAAGTGACATTTTTAGTTGAACTTGTGCATTGCTGGATATGGGGTATCTTGTTAATATGACTCCTTTTGGAATGGCAGATTAGGCCTGAACTATTGTTTACTGTTTTGTTCCTTGGTCTTGGTAACAGATGGACGTAATTGTTTGCTTATTTTAGGTTCTTCAGGAGGGACTACTTACTAATGTTTTGGTTCAAATTCCAAGGGTGCGTTTTGTTATTTTGATGGTTGTGATGACACTTTTTTAATGATCATGGGAATGTTGAAAGTGATTGAGCTCTGCAGGATCTGATGCAGCTTTATTGTTGCACCTTTAAATCTAATCTATTCTTTACTTTTCAGTTGTGTAATATATATTGTGCTGCTTTTGTATGATGTTCCTGTGGAAAGATATTGAGAAATTGCCATCTACGTTTGAAGTCCCTGTATTTTATTGCAACTAATGACCTCTCTCTTTGGCATGCATGGCTTTGTAGTCTTGTGGTATTCAACTCCTCCAGTACTTCATCAATTGGAGAAGTCAAATTGCTATATTCATGGAGCGAGTCTCTTTGAAAGCTTTGCAGGTTTGGGTTTAGAGCTCAGCTCATGTAATTTGGTTACGTTTTGTATTTTGGAAAATGAAGGGGTGCACTATTCCTCCCATGTATTTTGGGTCATGGATGACAGTCCTGGAGGCTAACATCATCCGATGATGCTCCACTTCAATCAATACCATCTCTCTAGACATGTGTTAAGAACATAAATATTTTTTCTAACCAATTAAGATGGGTACCCCATGAATAAGCCACATTGAAATTCAAGAAAGGTTACCAACAAAGGTCTTAGGAAAGTTAGGGACCTTATGTTTGAGGTAAATGAAAATTCTTCCAGATCAACATTAAAGTCTCCACACTGGGTATTGGATTTGTCAAAAACCTGAAGTTGTCAATCTGAGTGGAAACTTTTAAAATCTCTACCCAAAGTGGAGGCTTTATGTTGTTGTGTAAAATCAAAATATTCTTCAGTTTGATTGGAGGCTTTAAAGAGCTTGTCAACTACTTTACAATGCAAAATGTTCTATAGTAGTTTCAATCTTTTCTAAAACCCCCATGATTGAAACCCGGTGCAGAGGATTTCGGGAAGGATGCTATGATGGAGGATTGGGTAAAGAAGTTTGAGAAGCTTGCTGGGTCTCAGGTATTTTGCTTCAATTCCTGCAATTGGGGTTTAGGGTTTTGTTTAATTCTTTGGATTTTGCAATTATTTGTTTGGTTAGTATTGAAGATTAGGCTTTGTGCTCAACAATCAGTTTTCCAATTGGATTAGCCTTTGTAGTTTGTACCATATGAATTAATAGTACAGTGCCCTCTAAGGGATGCTATAATTTCTTTATTGTTTTCTGGTTAGAGTTTTGTTTAATAGTTGATGCAAATTCTCATGGTTGATTACTTGAAGAAATCATGTCTGTCCGAAAAGTTATCCTTACAGCTTGTGTTGAAAACTTTGTGCAGGAGCATTTCAATAACTTAATTTGGTCCTGATGGTAAAACTTGTTTATTCACCCAAGGAACTTGAGAGAGCTTGTAGACTGGATGTGATTTAGTGGTTTATGGGTGAAATAAGGGCATCTAAGTAGGGAAAAGGCATTCTCCCTGCATGCTTGCTGAATTTTAGGACTGGATGCTGTCATGTATTTTTTTTTATATTTTATTTATTTATTTATTTATTTTGTTGTGGGGAGGGCAGTGGGAGGGACAACAGATGCAGGTGGAAGAGAAAGAAGAAAGCTTGGATTGTGGCAGCGTATTATGTGGTGCATGGGGAGAGAGAAATGAATAGCCGTACTTTTAAAGAGACTATTAAGGAGTCAAAAGCTTGAGGTAATTTTTTTGCATAGTTATGATTTTTGGTGTAAAGGAATTTTTTTTTTTTCGTGCATCCTCTTTTCTTCTTGTAGATTCCATAGGTGAGCTCAAATTTTGTTTTAGGGCCTTTTTGATCTCTCAATAGTTTTTGTATGAAGTTCGAGCTTAAACATATTAATGAGAAAAAACTTCGTGTACTCTTTTTTATTTTTTTGAAAAGTAACTTGATGAAATCCAAATCTTAGCCAATGTAGCTCATCTTCTTTCCAAAAATAGAAGTGATAATAGTCAACGAAACTTAACACACATGACTAACTAGGCACAAATGACTTGTAGGAAAAGACGGGACTCGAAACCGATTCCCGGTTTTGAATCTAGAGCTTAATTTCCGTTTGTGAAAACTTGTCATTTTGAAACTCTTTTTCCGAATCAAGTGACACACTAACATGCTCAAACGACATCGGATGTCAACGAAACTTGACACACAAGTAACTAGGCACAAATGACTTGTAGGAAAAGACAGGACTCGAAATCGATGCCCGGTTTTGAATCTAGAGCTTAATTTCCGTTTGTGAAAACTTGTCCTTAAGAATTTTTTTTCTAAACCGGTTGACACACTAAAATGGTCAAATGGAGTTAGATGCCAACGAAACTTTGACACACATGACTTGGTGGGCACAAATGACTTGTAGGAAAAGATAGAATTTGAAACTGATTCCCGGTTTTGAATCTAGAGCTTAATTCCTGTTTGTAAAAATTTATTTTTTAGAAACTCTTTTCCAAATCGGGTGACACACTAAAATGGTAAAATGTCGTCAAATGTCAACGAAACTTAACACACACAACTAACTAGGTACAAATGACTTGTAGAAAAGACGGGACTTAAAACCAATTTTCGGTTTTGAATCTAGAGTCTAGTACCTGTTTGTAAACACGCGTCCTTTAGAAACTTTTTTTTCGAATCGGTTGACACTAAAATGTTCAAACAACGTCGGATGTCAATGAAACTTGACACACATGACTAATTAGGCACAAATGACTTGTCAGAAAATATGGGACTTGGCCTCTTGACATTGATTATTTGTTCTATGTTTTGTGTCACCTATATTGCTTTTTTGTTGTTGTTAATCTCACATCTATTTCATGTCTACTAGCATGAATTACTAGGGGTTGCTATGTCTGTGTTTAAGCACAATTATTTGGCTAGATTTCTTATTTTGTGTTTATTCGATTATTGTTAGATTATAGCGGAATGTGCTCAATCAATACTTGATTTTAATAGTATTGTTATCATTGCAGGATGTAATTAAAGTTTCTTTGGATATTTCACGTATACCAACAGTCCAATTGATGTAGGGACTTCTTATTAGTGACGATCTGTTGTGTGAAATTGATGGAGTTCTAATTGAGCCCAAATATTGCAAAGTCTTTATCTTAAAAGCAAAAAAACCAGATGCTCGTTTGGAAACACCATCCTGAGGTCTAAGAATTGTTGGAAAAGTTGTTGGAAGATGCATTGTGTGGCACTTGTTTTATGTACATGTAACAATCTTATTTATTTATTTCTTGAAATAAATATAAAATGTTTTACATTTTTTTTAAGTTTGAAATTAATTATATTGTAAATAATTATTTTATTTTTTTGTTTCTTTTTGCAGATGTTACCCTTTTGAGTACGTGATTGTATATTCACATATCGATATTAGAGTTTATTGTTGATAATAAAATAAGCTATTAATATATATGTTTTTTTTATTTGTATTGTCGATACTTTGGTTTTGCTTTAGATACAAATTTGAGTTTTTGAATTATCAAAAATTATTAGTATAGTTGGATGATGTTTTATATATTTTTATAAAGAATGTTTGGTGAACACCGTATCATTACAGGGTACATATATATTATTATTCATATATATGATTTTGTGAATGTGAATATGAATGTGTGTGGATGTGGTTGTATTTTATTTTAGAAAATATTAATAATTTGTACAGGGAATGAATTAATAAAGAAAAATGCTTTAGGCCTCGAAATTTTGAGGCTCGAATGCCTCAAAATTGTTTTTTTTTTTGGGCTGTGTTGGTTTGATTTGATTTGATTTGATTTGATTTGATTTTTTTTTTTATTTTTTATTTGACAAAGGTGGTTATGTGTAGGGGTGCGCTAAAAAATTAGACATCTCATATCTACTCAGCCTGTGTGGTTTGATAAAGTGAGTGAGTTGTGTTGGACTGGTTGGGTGATATAATTGACTGATCAGTTAGGTTGATGGTTAAAATTTGTTAATTCCATATAGTTTTGTATGAGTGTATACTATATTTTTATTTCAAATTAGGAAGACATAGAGGAAATTGAAAATCAAAGCCATTTCAATTTCCTTTTAAGTCTTCTTGATTTGAAATAAAAATATAGTAGTGACTCGTACAAAATTGTACAAAATTAACAAATTTTAACCAGCAGTTTAACTAATTAGTCAATTTTATCACCAAACTAGTTCAATCCAACCCAGTCACCTTATCAAATCACACAAGCTGAGTTGGTGAGGGATGTCTAGTTTTTTAGCACATCCCTACACACAACTACCATTCAAAAAAAAAAAAAAAAAAAAAAAAAAAAAAAAACCAAACTAAACCAAACCAAACCAACACAGCAAAAAAAAATAAAAATGATTTGAGGCATTCGAGTCTTGAAATTTTGTGGCCTCTGGCACGACTAATTAATAAAACATATATTTATTTTATGAAAATAATTTTTTTTCGACAATAATAAACCATTGCTAATGTAATCATCATTTTTTAAAATATTTTATTAGCGATGGGTTAACTTGTCGCATATACATATTAGTTCAATTCTTTAACGACGGTCTATGAAGCACGGACACACGACACGACACGGACACGCCGACACGTAAATTTTCAAAAAATGGGGGACACGACACGCTGGGAATACGTTCAATATATATAATTAATTTTATTTATTATATGTCATAAAATTATTAAAAAATAAAGGTGGAAAAAATTATTAAAATTAACAAAACTAATAAAATATAATTTTATTAAAATTATCAAAATAATAAAATATAAAATTAACAAAACATATAATTTTATTTATTATGTCATAAAATTATTAAAATTAACAAAGCTAATAAAATATATATATATATTTTCAAATAAAACGTATTAACAAAACTAATTAATATATATATATATATAAGAAATTAACAAAACTAATTAATAAATATATATATATATATATTCTGAAATAAGGCATACAGAGGGGAAAAAATATAAAATGGAAAAAAAAAAAAAAAAGGGACGCGAAAAAACAAAAAAAATAAAAGAATACTCATGTTATGGACTGCGTGTTCAGATTGAGCGGTGTGCTATGTTATGAAAAAGTGTACTGCGTTATGGACTGCGTGTTTAGAT